AAAAAAAAAGAATTATTGTTTTTATTTTGTGATAAACACAAGTGAAAGAATATACGAAAAGTAAAATGCCTGCCTTCTCTCTCTTACGTGCGTCTCGCATGTATTCATTAATAAACTCATGAAATAAACTTTTCGTTGCTTTTTCGCGCTGCGTGCTTCCTCCGTCCACATGTTCGCGCCAAAAACCCTCCGCGATTGGTCGATTGGCAATCGCCAGTCGACGCGTCACGTTACTTGGCGTCCGCGATTTGTGTAAACCAGGGGTACGTTCCAAAACTCTACTCCGTCAACTCTAAAGAACCCAAGGTAGTGGGGAGAGAGTAAGCCCAGAGTAAGTTACTCTGGTTGAACGATTTGGAACGTTGAAAAAGTAGTATTAGCAACGAATAAAATGGAAGCTCAACGAGCTCAACGAGCTGTTTAATGAAATTAGTTTAATGAAATACTCTACTACTTAACTTACCATTTCGTATTCTTTTATGCATCTCGGGTGTTGTCGTAATGTTGTATATTACACCTTCGATTATTATGCCCTTATAGAAATTTAATACTGTAAGTGATTTTTTGGCTAGTGATTAATCATTTTTTTTATTAAGCACTATTAACAGTGCTTTTAACAGTGTTTTTAAGTGATTAATTACTAGTCAAAAAATCACTTACAGTATTAAATTTTTATAAGGGTGTACTGCTGTTCTGTGAGATCCATTTTGTCTATTTTATACTTTGTAAACAATAATATAAATTTATAATATTATTTGTATATATGTATGATACTGATACTTCAACAATGTTTTAGGATTGAAAGTTAACCTTAACCTAACCTAATAAATTTTACTTTTTTTTAAAGTAACTCTCAATTCTAAAACAGACTAAAAAACCATTAAAAAATAAATTAATATGCTCATTTATTATGTGTGATATATAAAATACTTTATCTTGTGAGGTCGCTTAATGGCCAGGCCAGGAAATAATATTATTTTATATGTATATATAAATGTACAGGGTTGGGTACGTCCCTACAAAACGCTCTTTCAGACCCGGGTAATAAAGTATCATTTCTAATTCTAATATAAAATACTTTATCTAATTTTAATATTATACTCTCTTACTTATCACAGCAACGGCCAACGTTTTCGCGGTGTATAGAGACAATTGCGCTTATATGTTCTAAGATCCCGCGTTTATATTCAAATTTAGTAGAGTTTACTCTCCTAACCCACCTCGGAAGCAGGGTTCATAGAGTTAACTCCGGGGTTACTTTACTCTCACTTTTGGAACGAATAAGCTCCGCCCATATAGTTACTTACTTCGCGTTTTGGAACGGCGTAGGGTTAACCCTGCTACTCAGAGTAGAGTTTTGGAACGTACCCCAGCCCTCCATCGATACTTCTGAAATCTCTGACGTCACACGTGTGCCACACGTCACGTGTGACAGTCGACGTCGACGATCAAAACAATGGCAGTGAATGGCAGAGATCGAGTGGTAGCGCCTGTGCCGTAGCAGTATAATTTTCCCGTCGTTCTTTATGTTAGTGTCGTTTCAAGGAGTGTATTCCAACGAGATTATTAACGTAATCAATAACAGGATATATATGTAGTAAGATTAACAAAATTCAATAATTATTTCTATATAAAAATACGTTTTGACAAAAGCCTATCGCAAGTTAGGAATATAGGTTAGGTTACCAGCAAAACACATGTTCACAGAGCTTGCGATTCGAAAAGGAAATCATCCAGATTTTATGTAACGACTACGCGTATGTTGCTTATTTATTGCAGGCTGAAGCCTCACGCACATATCAGAGCTAAGCTGGTAGCGGCCTGAAAAAGTTTCGTGCTCAAGTACTACCGTATCACGAAGCAGGCAGTCCTGGTTGTACGCGAAGTAGACACGAATCCTCTATTCAATAACGCCAGCATAAACAGTATCCTTTCTATTTATCTTATGAAATTATAATTAATATAATTATTCTACAAATTTTATCATATATTTTGCTTAACGCTTATGCCTAGCGGGTGCAACCTACAAAATCACAACATTCCAAATCTACATTTGTCTTTTACACTGAAGGAGACGTTTGATCAAGAAACAGACGCGATATAACGAGACTGCGGCCAGAAGTCATGGAATTAATAAATAGTTTATATAATGACTTTATAAATAATGTCTTCTACGTGACCGTATGTCACGTTTGCAAGCAGTTTGGAGACGGCGTCTCTTTGAAGAGATGCGGTAGCTGCAGGATGATCGCCTATTGTGGTCGGGAACATCAGAAGCAGCACTGGAAGCAGCACAAATCTTTGTGCAAAGCCATACAGGACGCGTTGCAGGAATACAACTTTAATGGTTGCGGTAAAGATTCAGAGGATTGTGACGATAAGAAGCTGATCTTCACGAGGCTGGTGTTGCGCAAGCTGGGTCGCCATCTGAAGCTGGACGAGATGCAAATGTTCACATACCCAAAGGAGTGCCTAATTTGCCATGAAAAGAACGATAAGTTGTTAGAGGATTGTCAGAAGTGTGCTGCCAGCTTTTGTAAAAAGCACAAAGACGACACTGCGCACAGGGACATCTGCGCTCCCTTGGAACTAGGTTTTCATTCAGACTTATTAGGTACAAAAAAGTTTAATAGTCCGGTGGAGCTGCTTTCTGACTTGAAACGCGTTTCGGACGCGAGTACATTTCAGAACATGAAAGACTTCGTAAACGCTTTAGGGAATATTCAGACTGATTCGGAGATGCCGTACGATATTTTGGCAGCCGAATACTCACAATATCTGACACGTCCCTTGACGTTGTTATATGCTATGCGATTATTAAACTATGTTCCAAAAGGCAAAGATTTAGTCATTCATGTTGTAGGTGCAAATTACATCGAAGTAGTCACCTTGTTGACGTGGCGAGTTTTGCTGCATTTATCAGAGACCGTAATGTCATTCGTAATTATAATGATAGGCCCGGACTTAAAAAAGATTGCTCCTTCACGCACTTGTGATAAATGTAAATCGCTAGGAAACAAAAGTGTAATTTTTGAGTACCACGATGTGTTATACGAGAACTATGTATGCAAACCGTCATTCGTAAAACCGGACTTGATTGTAGGATTTAACTTGAGTATTGAGGAACATGAATTTGATTCTAGTAAGAAAATATGGGCGTCATCCATACATGCGGTAGCGAAACAGAATTGTCCGTTCATCTTAACGTTTTTTACGCTACGGTACTTTGAGGAGGGGACAAAGAAAATGAACACAATCCTGGGTAAGGAGGTAGATTATCTCTATAGCGGAAAGAACCCATTCGCTAGTTTCAGACCACATAGAATCCTCGGGCCAGAGCGCGTGTATTATCATAATCAGTATGTAGTTATCTACGAAAGTCTTTGTTCGTAATTGATATGCGTAATTTAAGCTACCGATGCAAGCTGAAGGTTGTGTTTATGCCAAAGTAAACGTTGCGTGTGAGAAATGAAAGAATACGAGTTAAATGGAATTTTACGTTTAAGAAATGCAACGGAAAGGACGCAGAGATAACTGTATGAACTACATCTGCGAATCGCGGCGCGTTATTTCTTCACGAAACAAACTACAAAAGACTAAGATCCGACCCTCCGAAATGTCTAATTATATTTATAATCCAAGAAGCTATTATTTACTTGTTAAATCGATTATTTGATATAAGTCGAGCATAAATGAATTATAAATATAACAGAGAAGTGGATGCGGTAACAAAATATTACAATGGCTGTTACTTTTAGTTTCGTTTGTAATGAGGACAAAACTTTAAGATAATTTTTATAATAAAATTTATATTTTTCTTTGTAATAAAATATATGTAATAAAATATATATTAAATATTTAAATGGCACGTGTTTCTTTTTTGATATTTCTTAGAGCTCTGTCATCATAGGTGAGAAAGGCTGACTGCTTCCTGTGATAGTCGATGATCACAATAACTGCAGAGATCGAGTGGCCCTGACAGTACATCAGCTTCCTGTCATTTATGCGATTATCGTTTCGAGGAGCCTGTATTTTAACGAGATTATTAACATTACTAATAACAGCATACACTTGTGCTAAGATTAACAAAATTCCCAACTTTTTCTCTATAAAATGCATTTTTACAAAAATTTGTCACTGTCTAAAGTTCTAAGAACTTTCTTGATTTTCAAGAATTTTCCCAAAAATCAATGAAGTATTAGGAGAATACTCGGCCAGGCCTAGACAGCACATCTTAAAGAAGTCTTTATATAGTTATAAACATGCGTGCTGTTTTTAATATTTCCTATAAGTATAAAATTCTAAAAGTAGAAACTTATAAAAAATATAATATAATTAAGAACATATTTTAATTTAGAAATCGACACTTTATTATTCCTTTCATTCTTTCATTTACATTATGAGAATGAGTATTATTATATATATAATTTTAAAATGCGATAGTACATTAAAAGTATAATACCAATTACAAACAATACAGTAATAAGAATTTAAGTGTTAATTATTACAATTAATCTCATTGCAATAGTTACAGGTAATAGCGCTGTACAAATTACAAGCGCAACGTCAACTAATTATAATTTCGTGATGCAATATAAATGACAATACTGAAAACCTAAAACATATGTGACGTAAACAATAGATTTCTATATTTTCGGAATTCGAGACGAGCTATTGGAAAGAAAGTCAAAAGCGGAAGTCAATAGCTGATTTACGCGTGCGTCACAATGCTTTAAGTACGTGTTATTTGCGAAATCATGCGACATCACAACATTCCGGACACTGAAAGTCGAACTTTCCGTGGAGGTGTTGTGAAAAAATGCTTTTTTTGAATTATCATTTTGTCTTTTACGACTGCCGAAATATAAACGTTTAATAAAAATGACGAATGCGGCGAGGCGCGCGATTCTTCTTGGCCAGCTCGCACTTTATTGCTTTAATAAACGAAAGTACATACGCGCGAGTAATACACGTGAGAAATACCAATAGGGCAAAGTACCAAGTACAAAATCTTTTTTAATTCATCTTTCTATCATTTACGGTTGCCGAGATATAAGCGTTTTACGAAAGTCAAAAATCATTTTACGCCCGATCGTTACGGCACGCGCGCCCTTTATTATGTTAAATAAACGGAAGGACGTACGTGTTAGTAACAAAATCGAGATATTCCAATAGCGCAGAGTATAAACTAAAACTAAACAGTCCTTTTTGAATCATCTCTATATGTTGGGTGGTTGCCCAGATATTTGCGATAAACGATAGGGAAGACTTTTTTTTCTCGCGCCAAGCCAGCGACACATGGCCTTGACCTACTTTCGACGAACAGCTGTTATTGATTTTTACTTTCTAAATTGGCCTTGACCTAGATCACCGAGTCCGGGAATGCCGGCCGGCGCGCGGCGTGTGTGTGTGCATATATATATATGCACGGCACGTCTATCCGTAAAATTCATAAATATTTCGATGTTTTTGCTAACTGATTTATAAGGTTTATTTTAAGTAGCAGTTGTCATATAGATCGATTCTGACGTGTATATGGTAAAATCATCATTACAATGGCTATTACTTTTAGTTCCGTTTGTAATGAAGACAAAACTTTTCGATAATTTTTATAATAAAATTTATATCTTTGTAATAAAATATATGTATATCAAGCATTTATATATACAAAATGGCAATTATTTCTTCTCCATCGATATTTCTGAAATCTCTGACATCACATGCACGTGCGCCGTGTGCGACGCGTGACAGTTTCACAGATGCTTGCCATAGTCGACGATCAAAACAATAACAGAGCTCGAGTGGCTGTAGCACTTGTGGCAGTATAATAGTTCCCCGCCGTTCTTTACGTGAGTATAAAGTATCGTTTCGCGGAGAGCGTATTCTAACGAGATTATAAACGTTATCAATAATTTCATATATAGGTATGTGGTAAGATTAACAAAATTCAATAATTGATTCTGCATAAAATAAAGTAAAAGCCCGTTTATCACAGATTAGGAACGTAGGGGGGTCAGGTTACAGCATATATATTTACAGGTAAGAGCATATTTACAGATTTGCGATTCGAAAAGCACGTTTATTTATTTTTGCAGGCTTCAGCCTCACGCAGATACCAGAGCTAAGTTGGTAGCGGCCTGAAGAAGTTTCGTTCTCGAGTACTACCGTATCACGAAGCAGACAGTCCTGGATATACGCCAAGTACACACGAATCCTCCATTTGTCTATTTGATAACGCCAGCATAAACAGTATCCTTCCTATTCATTGCATGGAATGATAATTATTCTAACAACTTTGTCATATTTTGCTTAACACTCACGTCCTGTGGGTGCAACCTGTGAAATCACACCATTCCAAACACTATATTTGTCCTTTACACTAAAGGAAACTTTGATACAGCGAGACTGTGTATAGGCAGAAGTCATGGAATCAGAAGCGAGAAATCAAATTAATAACGATTATAACTTCTTCTACGCGACCATGTGTCACGTTTGCAAACGGTTTGGCGACGGCGTCCAATTGAAGAGATGCGGTGGCTGCAAGATGATCTCGTATTGCAGTAAGGAACATCAGAAGCAGCACAGGAAACAGCACAAACCTTTGTGCAAAGCCATACAGGACGTGCTGCGGAACTACAACATGGATTATGGCGGTGAAACTGCAGAGGAATGGGCCGACAAGAAGCTGACCTTCGAGCAGCTAGTAGCGTCCAAGCTAGGACGTCGCCTGAATTTGGATGAGATGGATATGTTCTTTTTTCCAAAAGAGTGCCTGGTTTGCTACGACCAGAACATCAAGTCGTTGGAAGATTGTCAGAAGTGTGCTGCCAGCGTTTGTAAAAATCACAAAGATTGCATCCTGGAGCACAGGAACATCTGCGCTACCCTGGAACTATGTCTTCATTCAGATTTATTTTCTATGCGAGAGGGAGGCAGTTATATGGACTTGGATGTTTACTTGCAACACATTTCCTGCACGAGTACATTTCAGAACATGAAAGACTTTATAAAGGCTTGTATGAATATCCAGACTGACTCGGAGATGTCGTGCAATGTCCGGGCAGTTTTAGACTCAGAATGTCTGACACATTCCTTAACGTTGTTTTTTGCTATGCGATTATTAAAGTATGTCCCAAAAAGTGAAGATCTAGTCGTTCATGTTCTAGGTGCGAGAAAGTACGAAGAAATCACCTTGATTGGGTGGGAAATTTTTCCGCGTTTAATAGGAGCCAAGGTGTCAGTTATATTGATAGGACCGGAATTACCATGTCAATCAACGCTGTCACATCATTGCGATAACTGTATGTCACGGGAGAAAAAATGTTTGACGTTTGAGTTTCACAATGTATACGAGAACTATGTACGCAGTTCGTCATTCGTAAAACCGGACTTGGTTGTAGGATTTAATACGTTTGGTGGTGCGAGCAGCGAGGACCCTCCAGTTGAGTCCAGTAAGGAAACGTGGACGCCGTCCATTATTGAGTTGATAGCGAAAGAAAATTGTCCGTTTATCTTGACGTCTCGCACGCTAGATATATTTGAAGAGGAGACAGACATAATAAACGCAAGCCTGGATAAAGAGGTAAACCATATATATAGTGGAAAGAATCCATTCGCCAGTTTAGACCCATGGAGAGTTGTTGTCCGCGGGCCGGAGTACGTATCTTATACGAATCAATATGTTATTATCTATAGGAGTCTTTGTTCATAACTGATATGCGTAATTTAAGCGACCGATACAAACCAACGGCTGTGTTTTATGCCGAAGAAAACGTGTGCGAAATGACACACACGAATTAACTGAACTTAACGTTTAATAAATGTAACGGAATAAGGAACGCAAAGAAAATTATATGTATGTACATACATCTGCGTATCGCAACGTAATAAGCTACATGTCTTCACGAAACGAATTCCAAAAGCGGAGTCCGACACTCCGGAATGTCTGCTTATTATTTATAATCTAAAAATCCTAGAGCACATTATCTACAATTGTAGAGTCGATTGTCTTACATCGAGCATAATTGATTGATAGATACAGCGATTATAGATATAACAGGACACATGGATGTAATGTAAAATATTAATACAATGACTGTTACTTTCAGTCCTGTTTGTGATGAAGACAAGACTTTTCATTAATTGTTTGTAATAAAATTTATACCTTTGTAATAAATAATAAAATATACATATATCAGGCATTTACGAAATGGCAATTGTTTGTTCTCCATCGATACTTCTGAAATCTCTGACGTCACACGTGTGCCACGTGCCACACGTCACGTGTGACAGTCGACGTCGACGATCAAAACAATGGCAGTGAATGCCCATAATAGACGAGCCAAGTCAGTCGACGCGCTAACGCATACGACTTTCGATGAACTATGCTACGACTCGCGGAAGAACGAGACATCCGAGTGTATGTCTGCGCTCTTCTACCCGCCCGAAGCTGGCCGAGCCGCCGCCGAGCGCCCAGCGCACACGTACACGTACACGGCACCGTCAGCTGTGTGCGTGTCCCCCACCAGGCGCGCAGGCAGCGGGCAAAACAGCACCATTGGCATCTCTGCATAAAAGCTGGAGCTTCTCGGTACGTATTGTGATGCGATATAACCTATAAACGCATGGTTTTTATAATTTAATCTGCAATATTATTACAAAGAAAATGTACAATTTAGCATAACTTTGTAGGTATATAGAAAAAATATGTAGTTCACAAATTTATATGTAATTAAAGGAATCACCTCTGCTTTGTAAATTTAATCTTCAATATTGTTACGAGGAAAATGTTCGATTTAGCATAACTTTGTATGTAGAAAAGATATTTCTCGCAAATTTATATCAGCTCTGTTCTGTAAATTTAATCTTTAATATTTGTTACGAGAGATTTATGTACATTTCTATTAATTTAGATTAACATTAAAATTTCGGTTTAACTTACTTTTCATCTTTTTCTAATTCTTAGGACTAGACTAATTAATCTGATAGATATGGAAATTATTCTCGTGTATCCTTGCGTATAAAAAATATATTTTATAAATTGGTATTATACTTCTGTTGTGTATAATTGATGTATTTAATTATTTAATCCACTCTGTCGAAGATTTTTTCTGCACCCATCTAATGTCTTTATGCTCTCATTTCTTTTACAGGGCTTATGAGCGATTACATTTGTTGAATCTATAAACTTGAGCTTGCATATAAGTGGT